TAAGGACAATTAAAAACCCTAGGACAGTCAGGCCTCGGTGGAGTCGGTGGTTCCCCCTCAGGCTATCGCAACCAGAGTGAATCGACAGTACACGGCAGAAAGATGTGCCGTGAAAACTTATGCAACATCTTTGACCACTGGGTCACCTTTATTGTAACTTGATCAGAGATAAACCTGCAGGGAGCGCAGCTGCCGAACGTTAGGTGCACGCTAAGGAAAACAAATAAACAGGGGATATCTACTCCCCCTTTCCCCACCTTGAATTGGCCGGCACTCAATTGCAGAGATAGCAACACCCAAGGCCAGTCGAGGGCCGCTCGTGTTATCTACGTTCTGTTTCACAGGAGGTCACGTCGCGGTGGAGCATGGTCTTCCTCCTGGCGGCCGCCGTGTACTACCTGGGCAACCTGTTCTGGGTCATCTTCGGCTCCACGCAAGTGCAGCCCTGGAACTACCCGAAGACGCACGCGTCCACGGAGGAGCCAAGCGCGCCCAGCGCCGTCGTCGATGGAGAGGACCCGGTCGAGAAGCCCGACAAGTGACGTGCGAGTGAAGTGTAAAAGATACGAGCAAAGACATAATGCAGCCCACATCGGGGCGGAGTCTGGTCTAGTCAATTACAAATGCTGTGATTTTGTTAGGTAGCTTGTTGTTACTGGGCGCGCGGGCGTCGTTGTGGACCTTGTTTAAGTTAAAGTTGAGGACCCGGGCGCGGGCGCCTGGGTGGTAGGCAACCCATTGGGCGCCGTTCACAGACCCCTCTGAAGGCCGATGTTCGGACTCCCTAGTGAATGAGGCATACGGATCCTCTCCGCCATGAAGTCGCGAATTTTATATCGTTTAGAGACCTTAACGAGAGTCACCTCTATCATCATTTTTGTTTCATTTCTGTTTGGGACTTAGCACCCAACGCATCATTTTCTGAATGAGCCATTCTTCGGCGGTGGCTCGGAGGAAAGACCCATACCACTTCGCCGAATGTAACATAAAGACGCCGGACCACTGGCGATGGGCCTTGTTCTTGCGTCGAGTCCCTTCCGCGCCATACCACCGAAATAGTCCTTTATAGCTAGAGTGCACTGGGAAAATACACCACCATCGATTTTCTAAAAAGTGCATTGAAATCAAAACACGCCACATACTACTGGACAAACTGAAAACCATGTGTAATTACCAAATTGATTTGTAACTTTTTATATTAAATTTGTGACACTTTTTAAGTACGACAATTTACCTATTCGCGCACCAACTCATCCAGTTCTCACGCCCATCTGCATAGGTGATCAGGGGAACGACCCACAGAGAAGGTGAATGGGGAATTGAGTTGGCGTCGAGGGAGGATCACTTTCCCCAGCCAGAAATAGATTTCACAGCGACACCGTAACGATGTAGGAACGTCGCAGTCCACCGGTGTTGTTTCAATATGTCGCAGCGGCACTTGATTTCGTTTTAACATCCAGCAACGACATTCTTTCATCACTGACTGGACTGGGGCAAACGACGGTCGCGCCTTAGCGGAGGTGTTCTACCGAGTTCTACAGCCTGCTAGGGGATGTGGGCAGGGGTATGCCGAGGATGGCGCAGCTTCGTTCAAACACAACTCGGGCGAGGTCTGCGTCCTGCGCGGCGGCCGAGGGAAGGACCTCCTAAGAAAGACGCGATGAAGGGCATTAGAATGGAGAGCAAAACATGAACACGATCGGAGAGTGGTTGTTGTTATCCACTCCATCGGAGAGAAATTCTCTTCCTCACGCTCCGCGACTTACCTTACAGTCCGAGAAGTACTTCCCCGAGACGTACTCCACGTCCTCAGACACGGCCAGGTGGATGGTGGTCTGCGCCCCCTCCTCTGCATCCTGTGCGATAACGGAACGACACATTACCGGAGGCTGCGTTTCGACAGTGGAGTCGTAGACGACACGAGGTCGCACCGCACGACCGCAACCCTTACCTTCATAAAGAGGCGTAAGATGGCCTTAATGATGCCTCTAGAGAACTTGGGCGTCCTGTCCCAGATTTCAGTGAGGACAGCTCCAGGGTGCAAACTGTTGACAGTCACGCCTGTCGCAAGTAAAGAGTGAAGTTCAGTAAACTAAAAAATAAAATAAAGGTGTTTCTGTGCACGCGGGGGTGCGGGCGGTGCCAGCGGGGTTGCCTACTCCCTCTGCCCGTACGGCACCATGCTCCCCAGTGAATAGGCAAACCCGCGTGCACTGAAACACCCGGGTGCACGAGCTTCAGTTGAGTGTCACGAGATAAATGGTACCCACCAGTCCCCCGCAGCAGCCGAGCCAGGTGGTTGGCGGTGAGGATGTTGCACAGCTTTGTGTTGGAGTAGGCCACGAAGTGATCGTAAGGGAACAGGCTCTCGAGGCACAAGTCATCCACGTCCAGCTTGGCGTACAAGGCGTGCATCATGGACGACACGAACACGATCCGGGCCGGTGCAGACCGTTTCATCAGGTCTAGTAGCACAACGGGGTTCTCATCATCGTCACGTCACAATTTATTTTTGATATCGCGGAATAAGGGCAGAGCGTCCTCCTCCAACTTACCGAGGAGCCTGACGGTGAGCAGTACGTGGCCCAGGTGGTTGATCTGCACGCAGAGGTCGATGCCGTCCTGCGACTTCTTGCCCATGTTCCCCGGCATGCCCGCGTTGCACACCAGGATGTGCAGCCCGGCCTCCGTCTCCAGGAAGCCGTCGACAAAGGCGTGCACGGACGCCAGGCGGCTGAGGTCCAGGGACCGCACGTGCACGTCCTCGTTGCCCGTGGTGCGCACGATGTCCTCGCGGGCGCGCTCGGCCTTGGCGAGGTTCCTGCACGCCATGATGACGCGCGCGCCCCGCCGCGCCAGGTCGCGCGCCGTCTCCTTGCCGATGCCCGAGTTGGCCCCGGTGACGACGGCGGTGAGCCCGTCCAGCCGGCGGCGGCTGCGGCAGCGGCCCGTCGTCAGCTTGTAGTACACCTTGAGGGCGAGCAGCAGCGCGCACAACCCCGCCAGGCGCGGGTGGTTCGTCACCTTGGACCACACCAGGTCCACGAGGCTGGAGGCCATGGCCTAGCTCGTCACTACGACCGGACGAGGCCACGACCCTCCCGGGCGTGCTCCTCGGCGCGCTGCTGCTGGACACACCAGTGCGCGAAGGCGTCCCACGTGAAGGCCAGCGAGCCCCGCAGAGCGTGCCACGCGATCAGTAGGCAGCGGCAGCAGCGCCTCTGGCTGCTCGACAGTCGCGCCCTCGCCCTGCGCCGCGCCCGCGACCGGCGCGACTCGGAGGTGGTGGTGGCCGCGGCCTCCGGCGGAGCCTCGCTCCCGGAGGACGTGGAGGATTCCCTCCTCGTCCTCGCCGACAGCAGGCTTTGGCGATCCACCCTGAATCCGGCCTCGGCCTCGCGCGCCTACGCGCCTTTAGCGAGATGAGGATAGGACTTCGCCGCGCTTCGCCGCGCTTCGCCCCACTGCACCACGGGCTGCTATTCGGCAGACGAGTCGACACGCGACGATCCAACGCACTCGAACTCAAAAGCACACTGACACACACCAATACGCTGCACGACACTACTTTCACCACTGTGCCCGCCGACAACCGCAACCAGACTGCCCCGTCACCCGAGGGGGCACACACCCGTCACCACGGCCATGTCGCCGGCCCAGCCGAGCCCGACCCGAGGCCCATCCAAGAGCCACCCGAGCCGGCCCAGCCGAGCCCGACCCGAGGCCCGGCCCGCACTGCCGATCCGGCCATCCCGAATGGGTAATGAGGCCATTAATGCACTGACCCTTCGGGACGCGGCCCGCGCCACTACGCACACTCCACCCCCGCTCCGCCCCCCGTGCCGCCGCTCCGCCCCCCGCTCCGCCCCCCGCTCCGCCCCACGCTCCGCCGCTTACCCGTCCGACACCTTAGTCGCGCCAGCGCCAGCGCAGGTGGGAGGGAAACCCGCGGCACGGCACAATGCCTCGCAGAGCGGTGCAGAACTCGACTACAGGAGTTTGCGTCGTTGTTTCCGCATTATGAATCATCCCGCCCACCTTTATCCGAGCCGGCTCCTCGATGACAATGCGTAGATTTAATTTGAAATAAAGCAAAAAATTCGGACTCCTACT